TTTAGAGCGATCTAAAATAAGTACTTCTAATATATATATATATATATTTACTTTATTTAGATACATTTGCCCTTGATTAGATAGTTAAATAAATCTATATTGTGGGTTTTGTGTGTGTGTGTGTGTATTCAATTAAACTAGAGAAGTTGCATTAATTTGTGTAAGCAATGTGTTTGATTTACGTATAATTAAAGTAATATGTTGAAGTGTTTCTGCTCCTAACTTGATTTGTATTTGAAATAAATCGAATATTTAAGGTTACGTGTCTAGAGTAGGCAAATCAATACAATTCATGAACTTCGATATGAATAAGTATTTTATTTATTCAACACTGAAATCTGGAGTAGATAATTCACCAGTCTTTTTTGTTTAACCAAGATTAGATCAGATTTCATACTTTTAGGTTTCCAAACTCCTCAATATATATTTATATAAAAAATAGTATCAAAATCATCTTATTTACATTAGGTACTTGATGTTGAAAGAATAATATGAACAATATTTCGAATAATAATAAAGTAAAAAAGTACAAATGGTTGTTTCTGGCACAGTGGTTTGTGATTCGGAATTAATTATTGTGCCACTGTACGTGGACTCCAACGGGTGTCCGTAACTGGAGAGAGGCGAGCCTGTTCTTTGGGCAGTGCTAATACTACAGAACTACATAACTGGAGAGAAGAGAGCCTGTTCTTTGGGCAGTGCTAATACTACGGGACTTCATAACTGGAGAGAAGAGAGCCTGTTCTTTGGGCAGTGCTAATACTACGGGACTCCATAACTGGGGGGGGGGGGCGAGTCTGTTCTTTGGGCAGTGCTAATACTACAGGACTCCATAACTGGAGAGAAGAGAGCCTCTTCTTTCGGCAGTGCTAATACTACGGTACTCCATAACTGGAAGAAAGAGAGCCTGTTCTTTGCGCAGTGCTAATACTACGGTACTCCATAACTGGAGCGGAGAGAGTCTGTTTTTTGGGCTAAATTTCTCTAGCGTGTGAATCAATCGAGATCACATGATAAAATGTATCATCAATGAACCTTTGATCATCTATGTAACTACCTTATAAGTACCTAAAAGGTTATTGAAACTAAATAACACTCGCTGTACACCATGCAAAAAAAAAATAAATAAATAATATTTTCATCCTTTAGGCCTTAAAATTGAATATTTATAGACACTTACGTGAGGACGGCCTTTTGTCAAATTTAGGTGATTGTACTTCTAACTGTATTAGTGGTTTAAAGGATTATAACAACTATGTTTTTTTATTTCTTTGTTGTTGTTGTTTTTTTTTTTTGTCCCTTGACTCATTTTATACGACGCTGGAGGTAATTTGTTTAATGGATTTGGTTACCCCATTCCACTCGTTCTCATACTGTGAAGTGAACGTAATAGCAGTGAAAGAAGTTTAAATACAAACACTTCACTTAGAAGTGAGTGCACTACTCAATCACTTGGCAAACTACAACTCTATACGGATAAAGATGTTTAATGATGTACGCAGTAACTTAGTTTAAGAGAAAAAAAAAAATCTTTTTTTGGAATGTGTCCAGATTTCAATTTTCAATCACAAGTAAATTGGATACTCTGAACGTCGGGCCTAGATATGTTTTTGTCACATGTGTTTATGGGGTTGCCTTTAAAAAGACACGCTGCCATTGTTCGAGTTGGACGTATGCACGAAAAATATAAAAAAAAGATGTACATTTTTCGGAGAAATATTTGCCACTACCTTCTCCTCATAGTCGTAAATTTATTTTACTCAGTATCTAAAGGAAAAGCATTCACGACTTGTGATCAGACACAGCTTACAATCAAGTGAGATTTGTTATTAAACCATCTTCGTTGTTAGGCACCATACAGTGAGACTAGATTATTGGTAATGAGTTTTTGATTTGACTTGGAAGAGCAAGGAAATGATCACAGGAAGTTGAGTTTATGCAGCTCTTTATAGACAAGAAAAAGTAAGATATTTTTTATAGATTCATTTGTCACCATTTACGTTTATAGATCTTCTATGGGTAAATTATTTAAGGCATAAGTAGTTGGAAATTCATAAATAATACATACTTTATCATGTGCAGTATGACAATAGTTATGTGAAAATATACGGGTTGTTCGAATAGTCTAGAACTACAGGCACTTCAACGAATTTTACAGAATGTTTCCACATGCCCTCCTTGTAATTCGAAACGGTATTTGGAGACGGTATCTCCATTCTTTTTGAACACTGCTAAGCATATTCGTGTCACCGTCGATTGTCCACTCTGCCAGTCTCCTTAACTTTATCTAGCAACTTCCCAACAGCACTGTGAGTGATGTTTCTCTCTCTCTGGATGGCGTGCATTAAATTCAACAGGAACCTTCCGCTGGGATCAACGTTCCCTGCCACACAACAGGATTAACTCGACCTTCTCCTGCTTTGACAGTGTCATAAACAGTCACGTATCTGAAATTAAGAAAAACTGCAAATCACCTATGGTTCCAGACTTTTCGGATATCCTATAAATAAAAATATATTCCCACAACGCATAAAATTTCTTTTTTTTTTACTACATTGTATTCGATCAAAGCAACAGACACAGTGGTTGTGTCTCTCATTATTAGTTTTATTATTTGTTGTTGTTGTTATTAATAAAAAAAAAGCTACACAAAGCTATCTGTTCTTACCGCTTACCGCCGCGCTTTCTTGCGGCGAAGGGGGGAGAGCTGGGATGGGGTGGAGGCTCTCTTACTATCCGCAAGAAATTTTACCCATTACACCCAATTTACTTTTAAGCAACAAATAATTTCTTATGCATGCTTATATCATTATCAGCGTCAAAGATTATACTTTGTTTGTCTGGCCCCCCGGTGGCACAGTGGTATGTCTGCGGACTTATACTGCTAGAAACCGGGTTTCGATACCCGTGGTGGGCAGAGCACAGATAGCCCTTTGTGTTGGTTTGTGCTTAATAACAAACAACAACAATTGTTTGTCTGTTGGGTTTCGCGCAAAGCTACTTAAGCGTTATCTGCTAAGCTACTCAAGCGTTATTTAGAAGTGATAGGCTCGAGGGAAGGCAGTCTAGTCAACACTACCCACTGCTAACTCTTGGGCTATTCTTTATCAACGAAAAGTGAGATAGATCATCACATTAAAACGCCCCCGTGTCTTAAAG